AGTTTATTATTTTGTTGATTTTCATATGCTTGTGGGTATGTAAATGTACGCATATTCATCGGTAATATGCCTTTATTATATCCATAATATACTTTGAAGTGCAATAGTACCGAGGATGATACGATCTTACGTAAAATAGTACCGGGAATAATATAAGTACAATCTTACTACAAAGAAATTGGGAAATGTAGATATCGAGTTTATGACATAACTATTAAAAAAATTTTTTTTTGGCGCTTTACTAATTTTATCAATATTAAAAATGTTGGATAATTAGTAATAATAAGTAATCTATTAAATTTTATTAGACTTTATAGCGTATGAAAATTGGAAAATTACAGAACTTTGCAACCCCATAACTTTTTNTTCATATTCTTTGATACAGTTTTTTGCGTCTCATAGAATTCCTAAGCGTACCTACCTATACACCGAACTGTTACACCTAACTACTCAGTGAAATAGCGCTAAGTCCTAGCTGCAAGACGCAAGAGTCTTGCAGGCTATGTCTTGTTCTTGCTCAAGTCTTGCACGGTCAGTCTTGGTCTTGGTCTTGCTAAAAATACGCGGTCTTGTTCTTGGTCTTGGTCTTGCAAAAACGCAAGAACAAGACCAAGACTGCAAGACCAAGACTGAATTTGGGCAACACTATTTAAATTTCATCACAAAATTCTGGAAGAGAGGTTTCAATCTCCGGTAAAGGTTTAGATTATCATTTTAGATTTTAGATTAGGGTGGGGGCAGGGAGGGGGTTGAAAGAGGAGGTCTTCCCCACCACTGTATCATAAAAACTTTGCGGCGGTCTCACCCCCATGAAAAGTTATGGGGGCACAAAGTTTATTATTTTGTTGATTTTCATATGCTTGTGGGTATGTAAATGTACGCATATTCATCGGTAATATGCCTTTATTATATCCATAATATACTTTGAAGTGCAATAGTACCGAGGATGATACGATCTTACGTAAAATAGTACCGGGAATAATATAAGTACAATCTTACTACAAAGAAATTGGGAAATGTAGATATCGAGTTTATGACATAACTATTAAAAAAATTTTTTTTTGGCGCTTTTCTGGCTCTTATTTTTATCAATATTAAAAATGTTGGATAATTAGTAATAATAAGTAATCTATTAAATTTTATTAGACTTTATAGCGTATGAAAATTGGAAAATTACAGAACTTTGCAACCCCATAACTTTTTTATGGGGGTGTGAACGCCGCGCAACTTTTTATGGTGGTTTACTCAGGAAGACCTCCTCTTTCAACCCCCTCTGCCCTTTACCTAACCTCCCCCCTGTAACCCCCTCCTCTGGTTCTGGCGGTGGTAATTAGAATTAGAATTAGTCTGTTATATAGATATACAATAGTGGCTCAACCAAAGTCACTCCACAATTTTGCATTTCTTTTTTTTTTGTGTCATACGAATACCAATAATCGTATGACTTTATTTTTCTTTATATTTATATTTAAATGTAGTCTATAATTGTTCTTCCATTAGTTTTCGTGGCGTTTCGACCGTCAATTTCGGTCATCTTCAGGCTAAAATTTTAATACGATAAAATATAGTGAATGATTAAATCAATTATTTAAAAATCCATCATTTAATCATTCTGACAAATCCATTAATTAAATGATAAAAATGTACAATGTTAGTTTAAGAACTTTTATGTTTTTATTATATTTTATCATATTGAAGATGACCGAAATTGATGGTCCAAACGTCGCCATATTAATATGTAATTAGAAAATAAAATTAATTGGTATTGGCAGAATTGAATTTGAATTTTTTTTTGCATTATTAATTAATGGGTATTGGACAAGTTCCGGTCAAAGCTGCTCGTTGGAAATGCGTCAAGCATATGTGTACATTTATGCAAATAGGAGATTTTTGTGAGAGACGACGCTCGTCTAAAATGTTTATTATGTATGTATATACATAGCTGCTTGTACTTAAATGTACATATATGCATCTCTAATTTTGAATTCAATAAATTTAAGTGGAAATGCAAGATTGTAGTGTGCATAAAGACTCCTGTGAGTTACTGTCAATTATTCAGCTATTTATTTGAATTCGGTATCACAGTGGTACTTCTACATCTTATTGTTTATTCTTGTTTTACTTAAAATAATTTCTTTTTGGGTTAGTATTGTATTATGATAACAAGAGTGTTGATTTTGGTTTTAGATTATTGTTAGGCATCTGTTTTAAATAAATAAGTATCTATTTATTTATCATATCTATTTTGTGAAGCGTTTGTTATTGTATTTGACTTTGTATGTATGCAGTTACTGTGAATGACAAAAACTATGTCTTTATATGAATTAGGATTAGAAACTTTAAGTCAATATTTCTCTCGCAAGTGCTTGAGGGTTAATAATTACATAATAGCTGACAATTTTTATTTTACAAGAAAAACTTCTAGTATTACTAAATTGTCATTTTGTGTAAGGACGCTGAAAGAAAATATAAATGGAGTCTTATAGAAAATCAGAGATACGTTGGAACATTCTGCGGAGAATGTAATGTATATATTTGTTTTTCAAATACACAGGTACTATTCTTGAGTTTTACGATTTAGATAAGAAAACTGCATCAGTTTTGTAATTAAATCGGCCCTATCTCAAGATTTGTTCTTTCTTTCGTAGCAACATCAAACATTTTGAAGCCACAGAAGTGCATATTTTAAGTTTAGCATTATTTACAAGCTAAAAATAAATTAAATACATCAATTTCTACTTAAAATTTGAGCGATTGTAAAATATTTTTCATTTCTTTGTGCTAAATATATGTAAACCTTCAAGTTGAGTGTGTGGAAACTCAAAAGAACGAGATACGGGTTTTTAAATATGTCTCTTTTTTACTGACATAGGGAATCGAGATTGTCAAATCTGTTAGGAAAATGGTGTCAGATATACATTGTACATCCTACTTAAACTGCCGATGGTACACTTTGCAACCTCTGTTTATGTATTTACTTCAGGGTAGGAATTCTATGATTTTTGAGTAGGAAATGGAACCAGTAAATTTATTGTTTAATATAAAATTATTTAGAATATATACTTAAATACTTTTTTGGTACTTTAGTTTGTATTTGAATACTAAAATGAATTTTATTGGAAATACTGGAGCAGTTTTCAAATGGTAGCTATACTAACATAAGAGTATTCGGAACTCTCCAAATTTTGATGGATGGGTACCGTTATCGATGATCCAATCGCAACTGAATCATGATGAGATTTCGTTAACTGTCAGTTATCTACAATTACTTTCAGAAACAATGTCGTTGGGAAATAGTGGATTATTGCCAGCCTACAAGAGTTGTCTACAATGATTATTCCTCCATTTGTCCCATAATATTTGAGATCAGCAGTCGACGTCTTCCCCTAAAGAAGTTTAGGAGTAGACGCTGACCGTTTTACTTTTTACAATCTTTTTAACCTTTAATGACGTTAAATGTTCTACGTTATGTGTGTGAATTTTACACCAAGGTGCTATACCATAGTTATTATTTAGAAAGTCTTTAACATATGCAATGCATTTTTGTGGCTCTTAATTAGTTGATTGCACTCATTCTGTATGTATTCATTAGCTAAAGGTTTCTCCCAGTTTAAGCTCACTTAAATGAGTTTTACCTAGCTTGTACTTGATCGTAGCTTATAAAAATTGTATTGGGAAAATTTTTTCAGCGTTTTATCTATATTCTAACATTTAAATGGGTAAAATTGCGATAGCATCATTGTGTATACCGAATTGGAAAATGCTTTGTAACGTCATTGTGTGAACGTATTTTGGTGCAACTTTTTTATTTTATATTTTTGTTCAGTTTATGTAAATAGATATTAGAGCCTCTTTTTACAAAAATTCCTAATAAGTGTTGCATTCCGGATTGTAAAGAAAACTACACTACTGAAAAAATTGATGGCATTCTTCAAAAATAAGAGAGAAAAGTCAGCATTTTGCGCTTTTATATAGATAAACGATTCTTGTTTTGAAACTTTGTTTTCTTTTTACAAAAAAAATCAAATGGAATGTAAGAGTTCAGTTCACATGTGGCAGCCTCGTTTTTATTGAAAGCCCTTAAAAAACCATAAAGTGATTTAAATTATGCTTTTAATAAAAGAGCATTCGTATTGATGGTGCGCTACCTCAGTTTGTACTGCTCGCCTACTTCTGATGACGTCACGCCAGAGCACCGTGGCCTTCATAGTCTAGGTAGTATTGATTAAAGGCGCAAAGTGTACCATTACAATTTAAGTACTTGAGTAGGGATTCTGATGGTATATATAGTAGGAAATACCGCATATATGGCGAAAGGTGTGCAGAGCGTTATGCCCCCTGTTTTACTTGAAATATATAATAACCGTTATTACAATAAGTGAAGAAAAAGAGACGGCTACATACCGCAATCCTTAAATCCTACGAAAATATACATCCTTTTAAGCATCTCTTATGTACATTGGTGTGTATACTTTTTTGTTGTTATTGTACATTAATTAGATACTTGATACAATATGCTTTGTAAGCATATTCAACGAATAGAAAGCATGAACGTTTCAATTGCGCCTTCCTTAAGCATTTACATAACTCACCATAAGAAGTTATCAATTCAATCAATNGAAATTTTTAAGTGTTCTGAAAACCTCTGAAAATAACCTGTAATTTTGGTAGTTTTACTATTTAGTTTGACCGATGTTGATGTTATTACATTACATTTATATCGATCCCCGAAACAAAGTCAAAAATTTTTGTAATTTCCTATGGGTGACATTGAAAATGGACTACTTCAAGTTGTATAAGTCTTACCAGAAAAATTGCGGCTAGAGATCCGCTTAGTGTTTAAAAGGTGTAGAGAAAAAGAAAGGAAGATATTAGAAAAGAGGCAACATTTCGTCTTTAAGAAATATTTGTATCGTCATTTGGCAATTATAGAACATATATCCAAATCATTTACAAATAGAAAGCTTTAACTGCCAAATACGCGTATTAAGAAAAGAAAGTTATCCTAAAGAACCACGCTTACTTCTATTTCTTTTGTCTCCTGTGAAGCTCATGGTACGCCCCAACTCGCCTTTGACGGCTTTCAGAGATTTAAGGATCTCTTCAGGATCTCTCAACATTCTGGTACAGCTGCTCCTTCTTCTATCGCGAGAATAGGAAGCAGGAGGAGGAACAGCCGGAGCTTCTTCTTGTTGCTGTTCTTGTGGTGATTGAAAAGAAGACCTTCTGGACCCTGGAAGTGATTTGGAGAAGTCTTTGCCTAACTGGTATACTTCCACCTCGAGTTGTTCAGATTGTGACGAGCCTCTTCTTGATCCCCACGCATGATCTGGGTGCAATAAACTGGTACATTCGCCTATAGAATCCACGTCATCGGAAACGCTTCTCTGACTACTAAAGTCCGTTCTGCGGCTCATTCCAGTCAGAGAACCACGGGGAGAAGTGTGCGGAGATTTTCCACTTCTAGGCTTTCGATCTTCCAGGCGACACCAAACTGCACGATCGTCTAAAAAGGCCTTTTGCAGGTCGACGGAACATTCACCAAGAAAGCTTGGTTCATTTTGTGGAACTAAATCCCACAAGATTACATCCAAGGTTCGTTCCATTAATTCATCCCCGGGAACGCCTGGAAAGCTTAAGTTCGCATTCCAGATGGGGTTTTGGCTGGCTGGAGCTACCTCAGTTTGGACGCAGTGTTGATCGTCCCTATTAGAAATACGGAATATAATTAATTTGATAACCATAACTATTAAAATAGTGAAGTTGATGACAATTATGCGAATGTGTGCCACTTGGTTGAACATGTTAAGTAAACTAAATATGAAAACACTCGGTTAGTTTCATAATATTTAATTTTGATTTGACAATAATGTTTCGGCTGTTGGGCCATTTTCAAAAGGAGTGGAGTGCATTCACCTAAGTGCAGTTGCTGACGAAACTTTTGAACTTTTGCCCACGGACCATCAGCGGGTATCTTTAATTCCAAAATGGATTTTGGCCTATATCAGAATTAAATATTTGTGAGGTGAGTCAACTGTTTTGTTCCTAATCAGTATTTAGTGCAAATTTGATGTTAGGAAATAATTAAAAAAAAAAGGTTGATCTAATTAACGTACGTTAGTGGAAGCAGAGCAATTCTTGCGTAGGCTTCGGGAAGAGTACCATGACCCAAACTTTCGTCCCGTGGAGCTAAATCATCTGCAGCAAGTACTGCAACAACCAACTCCTTACGTTCGTCATGGTACCATACTTGTATTTGCACTCTTCCAGAGATTTGTCTTTCTTTTACTATTTGTTCCTACAAATCACAGTGATCCCTGTATTATGATATCAATGAAATAGTAATATCAGATTTACCTATGTATACTATTTATTCGTAGTTAGCGCCATAATTCTTAGACATTTACCTACATCGGAATCACATTCCATTTTTCTTTTTAGGGCTATGAAAAATTATGGCGCTCACCACATGCTACAGTATTAAAATTACTTTTTAAAATATAGATTTAGTGTCCGACCGAAAGTTCGGTTTCGGTCGAGTTTCGGCAAAAAAACGAGTTTCGGTTTCGGCGGCAAACCTGCCGAAACTACGACCGAAACCGAAACTGCGTTCGGGAGTTCTCGCGCTCTGCTCGGTCATGTTCGGCGCGTTAAAGTCTACCCAAGCGAAGTATACTATACTTACTCAAATAAACATCTCACCTATCTTAAGTATTTTTAAGGCGCAATCAAAGTATTTCCTTAAATGAGGGGTTGTTATGTTGATTTTGATTTGATTATCAATAAGTGAAAATGTCAAAGACTTCAGAGCTGTGTGATTTAAAGATAAAAAAATAAAACTGACTGATTATAATAACGTTTTCTTTATTTTTCTCTCAAAACATGGTCCTTATAAGGAAGTTTCGGTTTCGGTTTCGGCCGAAACCTAGACCGTTGCCGAAATTCGGTTTCGGTTTCGGTTTCGGTCGTAAAAACCAGTTTCGGTCGGACACTATATAGATTGAAAAACTACTTTTTTTAAATAAAATTAATTTAAATTTGAATGTTTGATAAATTTTTTCTTGTTAGGCAAATCACTCACGAAATTTCAATTCGTAAATACCAAATATTTTATCTAAAGGTGACCAAGATCAATGAACATATGTGGTATGTACATAGTTGTAATAGTTATATAGCATCTTCAACTAACACTGAGAAGCTGGCAAGAACATGCATGGGTAAACATAATATGTAACAATTACAGCATTAGTAAGCAATACATTGTAGGGCACTTTAATTGCAATTCTCGCATAATATACTGCTGCAAAAGATTAAAGGAACACCTGTTTTTCATAAAATAATATTAAATTCATACTGGTGTCGCTTTGATATAGAGCTCAATAAAGTTTGAAATGGTTTCTTTTCGATAGTGTTATCCACAGATTTAAAAAATTCAATTTTTCCAAAAAATTTAGCGAGGAAGTTTCGAAAGTTATTTTGTGGTAGTATTTAATCAAATGCGCGGATTGAAATGAAATCCGTGGTCCCAGGGCATGCTATGCAAGAAGAACATGTTATTTCCTTTGAGAACACTTAACATCTTGACTAACTCCTGGAGTTACCACGCTGGATTATCGACAGGCTATCGAATACTCCAAGAGATTCCACAAAAGGAAGAAAATCCTGAATGTACAAGTATCGACCTTGAGCGGTGAAGTCATGCGCAGTCGAAGTGAATGATCATCAAGTGTCAATGCAGCTTCAGTACAACCGCAGCGGAACTAACTGTACGTCGTCGCAACGTTCCTTGAGGATGCGGCAGGCGGCGAAACATCAGATTAACGATTCCATCGGTGTTCTCACCGAAAGAGATACGATCTTAGACCACGGCCATCAAGTCCGAATATCAAGCCGACCATGAAAACCTGATTCCTTTCAATAAAACCAATACTCAAATGTTAACTTTGCGAGTTAAGGTGGTCATTTTGCGGAAATAAAATTGTTTTTACTCGTGCATCTGATCAAATATGAGAAAAAAATAATTAAATTTTGAGGCTTCCTTCCCTGCTAAAGTTTTTTGGAAAAATTAAATATTTTTGAAATCGTGACTATACCACCGAATAAAAGAAACTTTAAGCTATCATTATGTTTGACGTAACTCTCACTACGAGCTTTGGTTGTAAAGTTAGAGCAGCTGGAAATTAGTAATCTTATATTTATAAAAAATAGCCGTCCCTTTAATTTCTGATAGGTACCAGTGTGGATTAAACTATATTCCAAAACAAAAGCAGTTCTCTAGTTAATTTTGAATATGGTGCCAAGTAAAATGCTCTACTTTTTTCCACCTGTTAACTACATTTTGTAGCCCGAGCAAGAAGGTAGAAGAAAATTATAGAGATAAACAAACAGGACAATAAGCGTGCCAGTTGGGACAGAACGTTGTTGTGAACGCGTACCTAAAAAAGAGAGTGATATCCTTTTGATCCATCTGGCTCTTCCAATTTGATCGACTGTCCCAGCTGACACTACACTGAAGTAGTGCATAATATAAATATAATTACATGAAAAACACTGTGTACGTGTACTCTTGTACTTTAATTTGAATTGTTTATTTCTATATCCCAATACTGTTTGTTATTTCGATCTTCACATTTAAAACAATCTATTGCAAAATTTGTAAAGGATAAATTATATAAACAAAAACGAACAAAATATAGAAGAAATATTTTAATACATCATTTTGGATATTGTCATGACATTTGTATATGTATAACCATTAAATACTACTTTTATTACAGTGTAACAAAAAAATTCTGCAACATTGCACAACTGTAGGCAAAATTGTATCGAAAAGGCCACTGTTGTGCAAAGTTGGAGAATTAGATTATATAGTTAACTATTTATTTACCTTTTATGTAACATTTATTATAACATCGATGTCTTTTTTACGTCAAGTCTAATGTATATAAACAGTGAAAAGCAATTAGTATGTAGGTTTAGTTATTAGTTTTCAGTTTTCATTGTTAGACAACAAGATTGTATTTACATGCGTACGACATCAGTAAGTAAAGGTAGTAAGAGAAAATTTAGCGAGATTAATAAACTTGATCCCAGTATCGTCTAAATTACGTATTGATATGTATAGGGAAGAGTGTGTATTTCATATTCAAAGTACGTAGATGCAAGAAGGATGTGTAAACAAATATTTTTAATAGATTCCATACTTAAATTTTGGCAAGACAATTTTAATTGCAAGTTATTAGCAGTATATCGTTGTATACTGATGTATACCGTTAGATATGGTATTTTATATGATGTATGAGAGGGCCTAACGAAGGTATTTATTTGCCAAAATTGAGCTACGATTCAGTCTATTTCCTGGTTTGATACCGAGTCCGCCTGCCCAGGTCTCAGTTTTACTGTGGTTTCCATGGATCACTTAGGCAAATGCCAAGACAGTAACCTTTTTCAGATAATCTTTCGTTTTCTGTTTTCATTTCATCCATCCAGTCTTTCTCTTCCCAACCACCATCTACCCATCTGAAACGAGGTGCAAAGAGCGGAGGAACTGCCACAGCATTTGCAACTTGTTTATCGGTTTGATAACTAGATACCTCTGTAAGACCCCAGTCGTAGAGTCAAACACTGTGAAATACTGCATCTAGCAGTAGATATCAGCACAAATTACCATAGGTCTACTGCCAATAACTTGATTTTGATTAGCTTGCTTTTACGGAGCAAATACGGTTTAGTCGGTGGTTTATTCAAACTACCTATGGTGTGTTGATAATAACCATTATGCTTGAAATTCACGTTTGGTGATTGGATCAATTAATGTTTTCTAATAATTTTCCCCCAAAATTATAAGTCAGTATTCAGAATAAAATAAATTATGACCAAAATTGCACTTTTAACTTCAACAGTTAGTAGATAGTATATTTGACATCAAGTTAGAAAAATTAGTCATTCTATGACGACACTGTATTCAGATCTAGGTGTATAGAATTTTTCAAAAACTATGCACTAGTGCAGTGCAATCAGCTTAGCCCGCTCGGTGCGTATTCCAAATAGTTTAGTAATTGAAGCAACTGAAAATGAAACTGTGATTCTATGAAGTACGGACAGTCACATATGATGAAATACATGGGCCTTGTTTGTGTTCGCACCTTTACAAAAATGGGGCGGGCTCAGTCCTGCTGTAGAGGATTATTTGCGTGAAAATTCCCTTGCTTTTTTGTGAGATTTTTGTCAAAGGAATACAAAATAGAAAATTATCTACAACTTAATAATGCAGTAACTTTGACGACAGTATAAAGACTAGACTGAAGACTTTGGGCTCATTGCTCCTGTTTATACTTTATATTGTAGAGGAATTCAGCTTAATAAATTGCATTTAAGTAAATTAACCTTGGAGTGATGAGGAAGAAGTGGGCGAGAATACATACTAATGCTTAATATTCAGGAGGGCACCGATTTGATTTCGGATCAATCTACCCTGGTCTACTCTGGTCTATGCTTTCCTGTCCTTTACATAGATGAACATTCCACAGATAAACATTCACTTCATTTCGTCCGTCTCATTTTTTCTCACCCCAATCACCATCCATCCACACCTACGATTCCTAAAGGGGGCTTGAAGAAGGCATTCCAACGTCCCGCTGTCCAGAGGGATTGATCGCCCACCAGCATTACTAGCGGGTGTTAATGAAACATCCAAAACTTTTTTCATTTAATTTAGCATGAGGCCTGCCTATTTATCGACTTATAACTTGAGCACCTATTGATACTGGCCGAGTAAATATATGACGTTTCATACTTTTCTCTTGATTGTATCATTTATTTGACTAATGGAAACCATCCCTAATGAACCCAAAACGATTAATCGGGTACGAAGTTCACATACAAATACTTTTGTACTTTATACTCATAAGATTCTAGATAGCGAGGTGTTGATTGGCAACTGAAACTAGAACAACTTCTATGGTATATGGTAAGGTGTGGAAAGTATAAGTTGCCGCCATCTTATAAAGTAAATTGTTTATGTTTACGGCTTAATGATAAATAAATAATAATGCTAAAGAATAAGAAAGCCTCACAACGTGCCTCCTAAGTATTTGCAAAAAGATTCAAACTGAAGTGATGTCAGGAATACCATGTTAATATAGGTCAGCAAGTAAGTTTAGGTGGGGTTCGGATGTTTTTGAAAATTTTTGTTGAGGTTCAGAAAAAATTGATAAGAGTGGTGCTCAAAGCTCAAACATAATTTATTATTTACAGAAAATATTTTTAAATAACTTATTTGCGTAATTTATTTTAAAA